TAGAAATATATATTTATTTAAATTGATATATATTACTTTAATATTTTATATAACCTATATTCTCTTTATACTAATTTTTTTATATTATACATTTACTTTTATTTTTTTTGCTTTTCAAATATGTTGGCAGTATAAGTATTGCAAGCAAGAGTTTTTAAAACCTTATGCTTTGACACAACATATTTTACAAAGACACCCTTACATCCAAAATAATACATCTCTAATTGCTTCTAATAAGTAATTAGATAATTCTATTTGGCAATTACTATGTTATAATGATTATAGTTCAAGTTTTGAATATTCTACAGATTATTAAGTAATTTATAGATTTTTTTATAGCTATAACAATTAATAATAAATACTAAAGATTTATTGATATAGAATAAAAGTACATTAAATAATTCTGGCATTATAGAAATAGAATTAGTAACAACTGATAATAATTTTATAGATTATGAGCTATTTTAAGAAGCATCTGCTGATGTTGATCCAAAAGATTATGAGGATGCTTCTTTTGATAATACTTTTTATAACTTAGAATATATTCAAACTATAGAGTAACCTAACAATACATATCAAGAATTTATGAAAATAATCAATAAGTATCAACTATCAAATTCAGCTAGAGATGCTATAATAAACTTTTTCAATAAGTTTTTCAATCTAGATGTTTTACTATTACTCTCATTAAAAAAGATTGAAAAGGAATTTTTTAATAATTCTATTGTCTCTTATGCAATGTTTAAAGAAATTCCAGTTAAAACATTTCAAGATATTACTTATACATTTTATTATTGGTTATTAATTAAAGCAATTAAATTATTAATATCAATAAACAGTATAAATCAATCATTAGTATTTCGATATGAAGAAAAATATAAAACAATAAATAGTTTTAGATATTGGGTTTTTGAAGAGCAATATAATTATAATTAGTAAAAATATGAGGAATTCAATTTACTAGTTGGGCAACAATTATTATTGATTATTCTTTATTTTGATGCAATTATTTTAGATCATATGAGAAAATTTTCTGAGCATCTAATTTTTCTTTTACTTGGTAATATACCTAATTCTTAAAGAAATAAACCAGAATCTAAAGCATTAATAGAATATCTACCAATATTAAAGACTAAGGATTCTACTGCTAAATCTATTAATAGTTTATAGAAGTTACAAAAAGAAATGTTTCATAAATGTCCAGAAATTCTTATTACTTCTATTATTAATGAATCTGAGTTAAATTTTGTTATTTATAATAATATAATTACTTTTGTTTTATGAATTTTAATAATTATTGCTGATATGTTAGAAGCTAATAAGATAGCAAACATTTACCATCTATCTAAATTAAAAAGACCTTGTTAGTATACAAAGATGATTTAAATAATATAAGCAAACTAAATATAATACCTAAAACTCTATATAATATGCAATGAATAATAAATAATGGAGAGGCATGTGACTATTCAATCCATTCTGGAGCAAATGCATTTTGGAAAATAAGATGAGTTAATTCTATTTTATATAATAAGTTTAAAAATTATATTGCTTAATATTAAAATTATTAGAAACTTTAATATATATGAAGCAATCATTTCTGATCGAATGTATACAATAGATCTTGGTCTTTTTAAATATATGCTAAATTATACAAGAAAGCTCTTACACAAACAATATGAAAGCAAAGTAACTCAAACTTTCAAGCAATGACTAATATTGATTCCTAGGTTTCAGGATCTCAAAATTATAAAGAATGTTTCTAATATAAGCTATATAACAGCTGATAAATTGTGAAATTTAATGAAAATTATTATTTTCACAATTAATAATCTTTATGAAAAGTATCAAAAACCAGGTGTTAGCAATAAACAATTATATCAAGTATATTATAAATTTCTTCAAATATATATTGCTACACATAATGAATCTTTTACTTATAGTTTTTGCAACCAACTTCAAGTAATTTTTTTTTAAATAAATAACAGTCAAAGGACATGTCCCTCATGATAATCTTTAATAGTAACTGATTTTCATATAACATATAACACTATAACTATCACAAGAAGCATTTTGAATAGAACATAAGAAACAATACTTTGGCCCTTAATAATAAAGAAATTTTACATTTTATTCTTTTATTTTATATTAAAAACATATATATACTGGTTAAATCTTAACTTGAAATATAACAATTTTTTAGATAAAAGCTAAGATCTTCCTTCAAATATGCTGAGTTTAAAGTAATTTTGCATTGTATAAGGTCACAAACAAAGAGTACTTCAGAAAAGATTATTGGCACAAATGCACTTTAGTTAAGGTTTTTTAATATTTACTTATGAGTATTTGTTTTTATATATATAAAATACTAACTTTTTTATAGATCACCAAACTTTAAACATTAGTTATGCAAAAAATTTAGTTATCCTGAGTAGTGTTGCCTGTTGCAAAGCTGCAACTTAATATTTACGGCTTATTTATGTTGTAATTATTTCAAGCTAACAGATAAGTCATATATATTAGATCACTAGTATTACATTCTATTGTGACAATAGTTTGCAACTCTAGTGGCATTATAAAAAAGTCACATTTCATATTTGCAGCAAGCAATACTAATTCCAGGTTTTAACGATCAAATAACAAGTTATAGATATTCAAATTTTATTAGAATCAGATAAAGAATTTGTTATTATTCGAATTAATAACAATTATAAACTTTTGGTATGCAGAATCTAACATTATCTATTTTTGAATCTTTTTACATCGGTTATTTCTCTAATACAGCTTAATTCTTTCAGATGTCCAGTCTGAAAAAATAGGTTAAAGTTTCCAAAAAACTTTTGTAACTGTGGCCTTAGGCAAATTTTCTTTATAATCAAGTAACTGAGCAAGTATACTCTTTTTTGCCTCTGTAGTAGTATGACATATTTGTTTTGGAAGGCTGATTTCAGATAGTAAAGCTGATGTGCCTTGCTGAACAATTAATTCTTGACTCACATTACCTGATTGGTTACTTTTTTTATTTTTTTGTTTTTTTTTACTTTTGAGTTGAGTATAAGTATAGGTACTTACATTTCGTGCATGATATCCAGAAGCTACTTGGGGTTCAGTTTTGTACACATCTTGAGCAAGTACTTTTTGAAATTATGATTTACCAATTTTATAAAAAGAAAGAATATTATTGATATTATTCTTACTTATTTCTGGTGCATCTTCGAATAAATAATGTGTAGCTTGATTCAGATAATTAAAAGCAAATAATAGTTTTATAACCAAGGACCAGAGTGAATCTTTGCGTGATTTGATTGCATGATCACTTTGACTAGTGACAATATTATCTATGTATTCTGTAAGAAGCATTGATAATCGATTTTTTTTACTTTGAGCTGCCTTAATTTTTGAAATTATAGTCTGTTGATCAATAAGGTTTCCGATAAGGTTTTGTTTAATAAACTTTATACCATAAGTTTCAAGTGCCTCATCAAAAGCTAAATTATAGTCTTCTCTAGTAAGGTTTACTGAACACACAGTTTGTAATATGTTTTGTAGCTGTGGATTATCATGGATTTGTGCTAAAAAGTATGCTGTGGCAGTTACATACTTGAACTTTCCAGCTGCAGAAAAAAGAGATGCAAATGCAGCCAAATTTGTTATCTGCATTTTATAATTTCACTTTCTAATTCCAATTTTATGTCCTATAAAGTATCCTGTCCAACAGAAAAAAAGATACTATACTTTTACTAATTGATTATTACCCTTTAAAATATCGCTCATGGTTTCTTTTTTGCCTTTTACATATTGACATAGTGTAATTCTGACCACAGCCCAGATTAACTCCAAAATGTGACATGTTACCTGATAATCTACAACATATTCAAACTTATCTAGATATTGTGCGCCAAGTGTTGCTGCAAGGTTAAATATTTCATATCCTGAAAAAATTTTAATCAAAGTACTACACATGTCTTTAGATATATGCCACTGTTCTAAAAAAAGTCGAACATCACTGTGTTTTTCTTTATAAGAAATTAATCTATCAAAAATTGCTTGATCACAAGCAATATATAAACATCGTTACTACCAAGAGGTAAATCATCATGATACATTTCACATGCCTCATGAACATTGTCATTGTTATTGGGTGCGTCACCAGGTTTCAATATCATGATGTTTAGAAGTGAAGTGTTAAAACCTACAGGTACATGTTTGGTAATTTCTGAACGCAGATCTTCTATGTCAAATTCATTTATATGAGTTTCTAACAATGTATTCAAAATATCCTCATATATAACTAAAAGATCGTTAGTAGTTGAAGATTCACCAAATAGTGATTGATTAATAAGATCGTAGCCTCCAACCAGATTATCAAGAGAGGTAGAAAAAAGAAACTAGAATACCATTTGCAGCATCATGTGTAATGTTTGCCATGTAATATCAAAAATATTACTATATGAGAAGGTAGAAGCTTTGAAATCAATATTGTTAATTACTGCCAAGTTTCAAATATTCAGCCCTTTAATCAAATTTTCTCTAGGGTCTATTTGGTGAATTCTATATTCTTCAAGATGATTTTCATGCCATTTAGTATAAGATATAACACATGCTGAACGAAGAATTTTTCTTAAGTATGGCAGCAGTTTTAGTTTTTGACAAATTGATGATATCATGTGTGTAAGCCATATTTTTATACTAGAAAAAGCAATAGTAAGTAGAATTGAGGTTAATAAAGTAATAATCTTTAATATTTGATTTGTGTTAAATAATTTGGAAGAGAGTCCTCATTGCTGTCTTTTTTTATTAATAATTTTTTGTTTTTTCTAGTGCAGCACCATAATGAGAGCTTGAAAAAAGCTGAAAATATTATCAGGCAATGAATTGACATAATTTTCATATGAAGTTAAATTTTCTAATTGGCTAATATTTTTTTTAATTTTAGATTGTAATGATAAAACTTTATTTCCTAATTTTTTACTTATTTTTGAAGCCTTCTCTGGAGTTATATGCAACTTTTCTTTATTTATTTTACCTTTTCCTAATTTAATTGCTGTTTTAACACTTAATTTGCTTGAAAGTTTTGTTGTTTCGATTTCTAATAGGCTTTGATTAGATTTATCATTAAAAACAATTAATGCTAAAGCTATTATTGAGAGGAGTCTTTCTTGTAGCATTTGGTCTTCTGACTTTGCTACTGATTCTAACTATTTTCCTATATATTTTAGTGCATTACTTGTGTCATCATGATGTTTTTCTTGTTCAATACATGTTGAAGCTTTATTGCCTTTATGTGGTCATTCATAAAGCTGTCCAGCCTCTTAATAAAAGCACTGTAAGCAAATATAATATGCACAAAGGCTTAAAGATAAATTTTGTGTGATGAGTCTTTTAGTAAATTTGGGGCATTTAAAAACACCAGTACAAGCTACTTGAATATTACGTTCATTAATTTTCTACAAATGTTTTGAACAGCAATCACTACAACTAAAAAACTATTTTTTTTATTGCAAAAAAGACAGATACGAAGATGCACTTTACTCTGCTCAATTGAGCATAGTTGTTTTTTACCTGCCTCATAAAGCATGTTCTGATCATAAATTAAATGAGGATAACATACACCAAGTTTGTAAAAATGCCTTTCAGCATCTTCAACTGCTTCTGTGTCTATTTTCTATGTTCCTATTAACTGCTTCAATTGACGAAGCTTTGTCATACTACCACAACATTTTATTTCACTCTGGATAATATCTATGATCACACATGGTGTTAGGTTTGAACCTTGTGCTAGGGTTTCTTTAATTTTCACATCTATTTTATCATGCATTGCTGAAAAAGGTTCAACCAATTCAGAATCTTCTGCTTTAATTTTGTCTTAGTTTATATTATCATCTTCACTGTTATTTAATAGTGCTTGAGCATTTGCAAAGGCAATGTTAACAAACTCAAGACCTTCATTACTTTCTTCAAAAGAATTGTATTCAAAATCTAAATAAGCTTTTAAAACATTGTATTCCTCAATATCTAAGTAAGTAAATTCAGAACTACTCATTTTTGTCTGAATAGTATAATTGCCACAAAATTATATAATAACAAAGTAAAAATAAAGTGGATAATTATTCAATAGTTATCAAAAAGTGAAGTATTTTATTATTTAATCTTGTTTTTTTAGATATAATCGTATTAATTATTTTTTTTTAATTTCTTAGCTACCCAATTCTCAAGTTCCCTTTTATAACATTTTTAAAAATATATCATATTATGATTCATTCATGACTTTATCATATTATTCTTTCTATCATTATGAAACTAGTATACAAAAGCCTTTCATTTGTAACTACCATATAATTATTTTACAATTTATGACAATATACAGCAAGCTAAGTATAATACTGTATATTACCGAAAATAAACACCCCCTCGGATGAATTTTTATAGCCAAATTTCTCATGATCTAGTAATCAAATCTGCATAATTTGGGTACTATTTGAATTGTTTTGATAAGTTGATTTGAATGGTACCAAAATTATGCAGAATTGATTACTAGATCATGAGAAATTTGGCTATAAAAATTTCTCTGAGGGGGTGCTTATTTTTGGTAATATACGGTATATCAATTCTAGTAATTTTATTATCGCATTATTCTTTCGATTATTATGAACTAGTGTACTAACACTTTTCAATTGTAACTACCGTATAATCATTAGTTCTACAATTCATGACAATACACAAGCTAAGTATGACATATTATCAATTCTATGATGTTTTATTATTCATATCTAATACAATACTTACAATATTTTAGTTTTGAATTTTAGATAAAAATTCAAAATTCAATTGTTTAAGAACTTTTTTTCTTTAGTTTTCTGAAATTAGTTTTGAATGGGTTTCATATAAGTGCCGTCAAAGAAAACTGTCATTGGGCCTTCAACTATATTTCATTTCGAACACCAAGATTTATCTATAAACAATCTGATCAGTACGTATTATACATAAAGTATAATACATCACTGATCAGATTTTTATAGATGATCCTGATTGACAGACTTTCCCTTGACAGTACTCATATGGTTAATATGTTTGCTCTGAATATATACACCAATTCAATTATTTCAAACATGTCAGACCATCTAAATGTGATGTAATGGGACATATGTAAAAAAAATCATCATTTAGAAAAGTATTTATTAAGATGAAGTATAAACTGTATATATATTTAGAAAGTATTTTATAAGTATGTATTTATGAAGGTTGCATTTAAAAATTGTTTATGTAAACTTTTTACAATTGTATATTCGAAAGACTGTATATTTTATGAAGTACTATAATAAAGATGAGAATTTAATTTTTTATTTTTTTTTATTATCAGTTATTATAATTTTTAATATCAATGAAAGAATTTCAAAAAAACAATAATTCAAAATTTTGAATCTACATATTTTTTTTACAAAAAGGCTGTGTTTAATTCAAAAAAACTTGGGCATTTTGAGAACTATCGAATTTTTTTTGGAAGCATTAGTTTTGCTCTGAAATGAGCCCAGTTTCACCTCAATAATCAAATACCTAAACAGATGCTTCATAACCTTCAGAACTAAGCTAAAATAAGAACTTCCACAGAATTTTACTTTAAAGCTCTAATACAGTCGACTTTGAACCTTTCTATATAAAACTTAAAAATTTGAAAATTCATAATAGTTCAGTATAAAAGTGCCATAGATTCTTAAAAAAACAAAGTAATTTTCTATAATGATCTCTTTTTCTTCAGAATTTTTGGTTCGTTATAGAAAGAGTTGACTGTATAGAGAATGATTAACTTACAGCTAAAATTCATGAAAACTTAGATTGCAAGGGCCATAAGTATGTACGAACCATAAAACTAGTAAAAGTTGCTTTGATTCAAAAAGAATATTACAAGAGTTAGTACTGTCAAACTTCAAATAAAGATCTTTTTTAAACTAGAAAAAAATAAAGATTAATGTTTTCACAGTTAAGTAAATAAATGTCTCAAATAAATTTTTTGCTTAAACATAAACACATGAATTGTTTTACAAATTTGGAGTTGTCATATGAAAAACCTTTTGCAATAATAAATTTTTTATATAAAACAAAAATAATCAATACTAAAATTATCATATAATTTACATTTTGAACTCCTGTAAAAGAACATGTCCCATAACTGATAATTACTATAGCAATTAATTACTAATAATTAATTTCAAAAAATTTTATTATGAACTGGGCTAAGGATTTTGTTAAAGTATTTTCTTCATATAATTTAAGTGGCATGCAACTTGCTAAACTTTATTCTTAATACTATTATATAGTTTTTGTAATTCAAAAATATGGATCAATTAATAGTATGACTACTAAAACATATGATACACTTCATAAATATTATATTAAAAACCTATATCATATGTCCAATAAAAAGAATTATATGAAGTAAATTCTAAAAACAGTAAGTTTTAATTATTATTTTTTTTATTATAATTGCTATAAATCAATTATTTTTTAGATAAAT